GAACGCGTAGATTACTTTTTAGGTTGTCAAAAGGAGCAGAAAGATATTAGGCTTAGTAAGTTTTAAAGGATTACGTCCTAGAGAAAGGAGAAAATTGTTAGGATTTATATTACATAACAAACACTTTATTTGGTTGAAATAAAATAATAATAAAAAAAACATTCACGAATACCTTAACATACGCTAATACTGTTTTTAAGATGGACATGTCAAAGAAATCGTTAGCTTATGACGTTCTTTATCTGATAAAAATGAACATTTTCCTCTGCAACTGGTTGGGAAAAAAAGATCTTCCTCACCATTAAGCTTGGCTTAAATGATTTTATATGAAAACGAATAAACACGTTATGTTACTAGCTATAAAAATTCCCCACGAACACTTCTTGTAACGGAGGGGGATTAGTAGTCGGCCCAAGGTCCATTTCTTTACCTCATCACCTTTATCCGCTCTTGACCTCATTGATATGAACAATCTGATAATTAGGACATTCAGCTCTGCCCAGTGCAATGGTTTTCGTATCAACTTATGATTTTAATAACTATTCATTCCCCCCAGATTTATTTTATACAGTGCGGCATAAACAAGTTGAGATGAGGTGTCAAATCTGTAAAGAGATAGTGCTAATGAAGATGCGCTGAAAATGATTATAATGATTCTATTATTATCATCAATTTTAATGTTATAATCATCATAATAATCATCATGAGCAACATCATTCTGATTCTTCATTTTTCTGATTATCCAAGATATTTAAAAGATATGTTTCGTTTACGCTCTAGCACTTATTTTTTAAGAGGACATAATATGCTCTGTTTGCCCAAACCATTGACCACTTCTTATGGTATCAATTCCTTTAGTTACTTGGCAACAAAATCTTGGAATTCTCTTCCTGACCATTACCGCACTATTTCTGATTTTACTTCTTTTCGACGACTGATATCTACTGGGAACAATAATTTACTTAAAAGGGCAGGAACTGCAAACCTTTCTACATCATGATAATTACCATTACCGCACTATTTCTGATTTTACTTCTTTTCGACGACTGATATCTACTGGGAACAATAATTTACTTAAAAGGGCAGGAACTGCAAACCTTTCTACGTCATGATAATTTGCAAGTTAGTTGTCTAGGTAGTTAGTCATCTTATTTGTTATATAGAATAAACTTTTTGTTATAATTATTCATTAATGTAGTTGGCTCGAAGATATTAGCACTTCAGTGCTACACTGTAAATTCGAGGGTAAATAAAGTTTATTGATTGATTGATTGATTGATCATTAAGGGAAAAAATAGGTTAGTTACATAGTATATTTTCACCAACCTAATTTTTTAAGTGTTACTGAGCCATTCCCAAAGGTTCACTCTATATATTGAGCGTCATCCATGCTCAAATCATCTGCCTCCACATTCAAATCTGGCTCAAAATACCCGTCAACAATTCCATGACTACAGATAAACGTGAAAATAATTCGTTAAAACACAAAATTGATGACTACGACTTACATGATCGCCTATTGGTATTAGGCAAATAGCAGCATACTTGTGAAAACACCATTCATTTTTGTGTAACCTATGTGAGCATTATCGCATTAAAAATTGTGGCAAATCATGTTAATTATGAGCAGCAGCCGACGGGCTTTTATTGTTATTCAGAACATTTTTTCTTCTCCTTCCCTTTCATTTCTTTTCTTTTTTCTCTCTCTTCTGTGAAAACTTAGGGTGCTCAAGTGTAATGAGTGTAAGGATGGTTTCCAATTTTTTTTCTATCGATTGTTGTAAATTTATGTTTAATGGTTATTTTGTTTTCGTTTAAAAACAATAGCTGCCTTTTTCTGAAAAACTGAAAAAATTTACATTTATTAGCAAAGTGTAGTTCCAGAAAATATTCCATACCCCCCCACGGAGGGCACTTTTGCTTTAACTCCCCTCCCCACCCCCCTGGAATTTCCATTCCAGGGAGTGCTTGTTATACCCCCCTACCCCCTCTAATTTCCGTACTTTTTCAACTTGGTTGGGTGCCCTCTGGAAATAATATTTGTATCAAAAATGTTGTTTCATTTAATCATCATGCGAAAGATAAATTTTTTGCGATAAAATGATCATTCATGGTAATACGGTGTCTAATAGTCTCAAGGACGTTCTTAGCTAATAATTAACCATAGGGGTGATATCTTACATTACTGACTACACGAATAATGTCATCCGCAAAAAAACCAGTTGCATTCAAAGTAAACACCAAGTGAACTTTGATTCATTATTTCATATCAGTTAGAACATGTTTTAAGAAGGCTTAGAACACGACCAAATAACGGGGAATCAAATGTGTAATAAAGCAACAGCTTGATGACCGGAATTTTATTCATGAGCCGATGACAATGGCATTAAAGAAAGCTATCGCGGCATAAGCCGTGAAAAAAACAGTTCCATGCAAACAATAATAATTGTTTTGAAACACCAGTAACAGTAAAATAACTGCTAGTTGCTTATTATTATTATTCATTCAAAATATTTCCCCAATCCTGATTGGCTAAAAGCACACGCATAATTCACCATAACCAGTTACTGATGACCAAATTTGGAAGAATTTTGTGTTTAACGAGGAAATGACGTCAAAAATGCAGCCCTCTACAGGTTAAGGCATCGTTACCGAGAAGACCTGGGGACGAGGTTGAGTTGTTTTGGGTGTGGAAAAAAATGGCGGATATTTCACTCGTTTCAAGAGTAAGAACTACAGCTGGAACTAGGCGAAATAATAGCTAAAAACATGGCAAAAACAGCAAGAAGACAACTCGGAGGGCGACATCTGCTATTTGGAGAATATTGCGGAGCTGAACAAACCTAAAAGTACAGTATCGATGATGAACTTAACATCGATGCAGGTAAGCATGTTTCAGCTATGTTTTTAAACTAGGAATTATTTTGAATGAACAATGAAGCAATTAATGAATTTGGCTTTCGTAGGATATGAATAATTAAGCAGATCTCGGAGGGCGTTATCTGCCGAGGCCGAAGGCCGATCTGCTTAATTCTTCATATCCTACTCAGCCTCATTCATTAGTTGCTAAATAACTCACCAATCTTACTCAGACCCCCTGGAGAAAAACCTCTGTAAGAAAGCCCCCACTCCCTCAGAAATTACCTCCTTTTGGAACCGCCCCCCTTCCCCTCGGAATTTCCGTTGCCCTCCGTGGGGGGTATGGATATTTTCCGAATCTACACAATGGGAATCGGATAGAAAGTGGCTTTCAGAAGACGACTGTATCATTTCTAAAACATGCGCATGCTTGCAATAACTTTATCAAGAAGAATGCTAAACAAACTAAGTGAGTCTATACCGGTGTATTGTAAATCCAAGAGAAATATGAAGTTAGAAAGGACAGTAAAACGAAGCCAAAGAAGGGTTAAAGTTGAAATAAAAAACTCACTGATACGCAACTGAGTGAGCTCAGGCCACTAACCGGCTTTAGCTTAGGTTAGCTTTTTTCTAAAGCCTTGTAAAAAGAATGGATGTCTTAAGACATTACCGTAAATTATCGATTAAGCGCAGCGGCGCTTATCTCATTTTTCCTGTTATAGGTGGGCGCTTTAAAGAAATCGGCTGTTATTCGAGAGCGGCGCTTATTTCAACTACGAGTAAAGCACTGAGGGGAGTATAGAGAGAATTAAGTAAGGCGAGTCCTAGGTATGCACATATTTAATATAAAATATGTCTACCTGGAGTTTTAAAAACCGGGTTGTAATTGCCTGAAATCTTAAGTCAAGTCCAGCACATTGCAGGCAATCTTTCAAAACTTAATTTGCTTAAAGCCCTGATACTTTTAGTGTAAAAATAACAATCTCCCTTTTCAGGACTAACCATCCTCAGCTCTTAACCATGGGCCTGTAGGGTCGGGCAGTTGCCCCCGTTGGGCCAGCTAATTTTTTTTTAGGAGGGCTTCCGTCGAACTAAGTGTCCTGTTGTTGCACAGACACAGGGCTATCATCTGGTATGCATTTGGGGTAGCCTGGTTAAATTCCAGGGGGTTGGGGTTGTTCTAAAGACTATGCTTTGTGCTAGAGTGCGGATTTGCTGAGTTTTTGTACGGGGGCCTACCCCTGTCTTTCAAAGCTCAATGTCTCCCTCAAATTAAGGAGGGGTTGTGTCTGGCTGGGTGTCATGTTGTTGTACAGACACAGGGCTATCATCTGGGGTACACTTGGGGTAGCCTAGTTAAATTCCAGGGGCGTGGGGTTGTTGTAAAGTTTGATGTGTTTTTGGACTCTTATGCAGTTTGTTTGAGCTGTTTGCACTCAAGCAATGACCCACTCTGTTGATAATGTTCCTAGACAGCAAGCAGTTAAACTGGTGGTTGTAGGACTCGGTTTTGTTGAGCAGTGTTGCCTTAGATTGTTTTTGGGAGACCAGCTTCAATGAAAAATGGGGTGAACTAGGGAAATGGCTTTGCAATCGGTGACACCGACACTAAAAATTGCCCCTTAAGATGCCTTATTTTCCAGATTGAGGAAAACTTCACTTTTGTTACCTTCAAGACAGACGATCCTTTCAAATGGAAGCTCATGTATTCAATAATTTTGAGGTGAGATTTTACTTTTCAAGTAACAAGGGCCATTAAATTACCAATCAGTGCGAGAGACTGACATGTTTTAGTAGTACAGTTTTTCCAATTTTTATCATGGAGATTTCAATATTATCAAATTTGAAATTTAACTTTTTTAATTTGAAATTCTATTAAAATAATCCATTTGAGGCGCCTCTTTGTCAAGTAGATAGGGCTATGTGGATCAGTGACACACAAATGCATCTTTTCGTCTTCAACGTAACAGAATCAACAATAAAAAGATGAAAAGAGTTTAGGCGAAGAAAACAAAACTGAATGCAAGGCTGGCACTACGGCAAAGGGCTGATTTACTATAGGCCAATATTTCGGCTAACAAAATTAGCCTTCCTCAGGGCCAGAGCTATAGCGAGAGAAAATATTTCTTAAAAGACAGTACATACTCTATAAGATGTGCCATGGAGAGCGTCTCGGGGCAGTAATATTTAGGGCACTTGCAACCCGGCACCGAACTTTCCTCCATCTTTTCTACGGGATCTGCACCATTAGCGCACATGAAATCATAAGGCCTTGTGCACAGCGGTTCACACATGAAGAATGAATACTCTTCACTTGCTGCACATTGACACGTATATTGGCATTCCTGAAGGACCACCTTTTCACCCGGGTAGAATTTTGCACCCTCGTGCAAACAAAACGCTGGTGAATAATGAAGAGAAAAAAAACGTGGAATGGAGATTAAAATATTTCATTAGTTTATAATAAGTTATTTTACACTAGAGATTTTCATCTTTATTTTTCTATTTTTCATTCAAGATATTTCTTCGTTTCTGATTGGTATGGCTAAGCGCAAAGCCATTGATATGAAAATGATTTTTTATTCTCTTGCAAGCAAAACTAATTTTCACAAGACTGAAAAGTTTTGCACTTATCCTGGTTTCTGGAACTCGGAGATGACATATTTCTAAGATATTTACCCATATCAGTTCGATTCACGTCAATCTTATTGATATTGGCAAATAAGGCAGAAGCATTGTGCGATAGCTTGGCTGTTCTGTTAGTGCAAGCAGCACAGCTGGAGAAAACGGCAGAAGATTTCATACACCATGCGAAAACTCGGAAATAGCCGAGCTACCGCCTTTGCATGAAAGTTTTCAACATTAGTAATATTTACTTTTATAGACTAACTTTCATATGTTCATCCTCTAACGGCTGTTGTTATTGTGGTATTGTTGTTTAAATGTAAAATAACAAACTGAATAAGTGACCGGCTCCCAGTTGGCTCGATAACCCAGTGTATGTTTGAGGAGCACTCCACCGTTATCATCATCACAGATGTCACAGATTCTAATCCTTCCCTCAAGAAAGCGTTTACTCTCAGTTCAAATAGAGCTGGTCGCTTACAGGGTGGTCGCAAGGAATGCGGCTGTAGCGTCAGTACTATCACAAATTCTGTAATCAGACTGATTGAGTATCGAGCCGGGTTTTGAACGAAAACAAAACAATTTACTTAACTTAAAAATATTTTAAAGATGAAGTTAAATTTTACCTCGACACCTGTCGACAATTTGTATTCTCATGTGGCTGATTGTCGGGCTTTCGACGTTTTTAATAGGAGAAGTCCCTCGTATTTTCATTAGAGGATTAAGAAGTACAGTCGTAAAAGTCTGGTCAGGCAATAACCATGTTTATTCTTACCATCATCATTGGATGAGATACTGGCTGCTGACGTCACTGTGTAGACTGTGGCAGCCAATAAGAAGTAAGCTGAGATCATGACGGATTGCTCACTGTTTAGTTCTGTATACGGGAAAGTTAAGAACAGTCTTCAGTTGTTAGTTCCATTTTTCTGATTAACTGTCCTTTAATCACAACACTACCAATCAGAATATTCCTTAGACCAATTCAGTTCATTAAAAATCTTTTAGAAGTTAAAGTAAGCCTTAAATTTTCTTAAACAAAAGTTGTATACCCCAAATTCAAACAACAAAATGTAATTCGGGGCGACTGCAGTCCGGGCATTGCATTCCACCCAGCTAATTAACTAACTTACAGTAAACAGGACAGCAATTTTTCGTTATGGGCGCAAAAAAGAACTAGTACGGTTATATTTGTTTTTTTGTATTCTCAGACACCTCTTAAAGAAAGGAATATATAGTTACCAAGAAAACGTACATCCCTGCAGACCATGAACATGTTTGACAAAAAAATATTTTGCAAACCTTAGCGTCTAGCGCCTACATCAATGGTTTCGGCCGTTAAACGATCTTATATAGTTTCATCAGCATTTAAATAGCTTCAAACCTCCAAGCCTCCAAGCATATATTAGCGTCCGGGTGCAAATTAGGCCTCAATTTCTAGCTATTCATTTTGTTAAGATGATTTCTCGTTTTCATTTTCACACCCGGAAGCGTATTTTAAAAAGCCAGCAATGTAATCTTGAAATAGCAAAGGGAAGCACAGCAAAATTTCTAACTAGTTACCTGTTTATAATAAAAACGACTTTGAAGACATCCATATTTATGAATAACTTAATTAATATTTTTATCACGAAATTTTTTGGAAACGCTCGCGAGTCCAGCCTTCTATCGATACAAATTGCATGATTTAGAATTCTTGTTCAGCTTTTTCTAAAACGTCAGTCTACATGAGGACGACAGTAGAAACTTAAAAAAGCAGAGCGTTCTCTTGATCTTACGTGATATCTGATACAGGTCCGTTTACTGGTTTGACACTTTTTATACACTTTTGTCATGTAAACTGAATCGCATTCGAAATTTAAGCTTGTCCTTCTTGTTTTACTGAGCACCGTAATTTTCTCACGCAAATTTTTTTATACAGTGCTGCATCAAGATCAAAGGATGCGTTAAACATTTTCCGTCATTTTAAGTGACATGATAAAATCCTGAGAAAATTCTTCTGAGGGTACAATTAGCTTAAGCTAAATATTCTACAACATTCAGAAAGAACATGAACAGTTAGGGTTAGGGTTACTTATATTTCTCTATAAAGAAAGACAAGATTGAACTTACCCGATCTACAAAATGGTGACAGAATTTAATCCTTTCAGAAAACTCAGGAAAATCTAAAAATAAAGGACAAAGATATCACTTGCTAGATCCTGTATGTAATAAATTAACATCAAAAAACTTACACTAACGAATACCAAGATTTTTCGTTAATCGCTGACAAACATTGTTGACAGTGTTTTTCAGGGGCGACTACTTCGTGTCAAATTAGCCACTGATAAGAGCTTTTAAAACGCTACGGAAATGTGGCAATAAAAAAAGTTAAAAGAGTACAATTCTCAGTCATTTAACTCTAACGGCTTTAGGGCTTTTGACCAACTTTCTTAATGGTCAGGTTATTTCAATGACACGAACAAAAGAAAATTAGCTAGCATAAATGTGTAAAAATTATTTCTGCCAAAAAACATAACTAAATATCAAATAACGCTAGAACCTTCATTAAATTTATAAAATATAAAGGGTGTTTTACTTACGGACGGAATATGTCCTCGAACAGTTGAGCTAAGTTTAAAATGAACGTAAGTAGACGCCAGTTTTTGACTTAAACAACAAGTTTGCTCGTAAAAAGGCTGATTTTGTTTTTGTTTTTAGACAATGATTGATAAAAGAACCCACTACCGAAAATAATATTTTAAAAAATAATCAGGCGTCATTTTCCGCTGAGAAATATTGTCAGATCGAGTTGATAATGAATAAAGAATCACCGGACACAAATTAAGCGAAACAATAGAAGAAGCTTATGGAATAGACCTCAGCGTGAAGGCAAAATTATTAATTAACTCTTTCACATGCCATTTTATAGCAGCTAAATAAATCATGTTTCACCGGAATTTGAGGATATTCGTTTACTTTTGGATTTATTTTCTTATGATGCCCTTCGGCGTTTAAAGAAAAGTTAGATCAAGTTAGGTTACAGAATTCATTCAAAAAATCTATTCTAACTTTTACTCCAAGTGACGTCATTATATTTTCTATTTTTTTTTTTTGTACTTATTTATATTCTCACAAAAAAAAAAATAAAAAATAAGGGGCCTGCTATATCAGAGTTATTTCTCACGCAAATGTGACTAGTTTATTCTAATGTTAATGTGATTTGATTAATTAATCGCGGCGACCGTGTGGTTAATGGTTTTTGTCGCTAAAAAGTTAAGAGAAGCCTCTTTGACTAATCCCTTGCTCCTTTGGGATTATATTATTAGCAGGATAATTAAGATCTTTTGAAAAGCAAGTTATATTGTGTTTTATAATAAATGTAGGTGAGCATACGAAAAACATTAAAACATCAGATGTACGGAACCCCCCAAAAATCATAACCCTGCCTTTGATGGTTTGTTCGTCTCTATGAAGTTTGGTCCTTGTAAGTTTTAAAGGATTAAATCCTAAAGAAAGGAGAAAAGTGTTGGAATATATATACTATATAACATTATCTTGTTTGATAATTTAAAAAAATTTCGGATATCTTTAGCAGAGGCTAATAATTTTTTTAATGTATGTACATATAAGATCGTTAACTGAGCGCGGATGGATTTTTCTTGGTCTTTTCCTAACTTCGGTGAACCGCTCAAGTAGGTAATTTTACGAAACTGCGAATTTCGCTTTTATGATTTGATAAATTGTATTTGACATTTTCATCTTCACTTACAGCAACAATGCAAATCTCATGACCATTTTTGATAAATCTTGCTTATGAGATGCACATACTACATACTTACACTGATCATGAATTTCTTTCATTTGAAATCTCCAGCACTCTACGTTTGGTACATGTACTGATCGGTCGCAGTTTCAATCAATTTAACTCGGTGACTTTTCACTTTTATCGACAGACTAACAAAAATTAACACATCACACAAGATTACAAGCAAACAATCGGCCAGGAAAGTAAAATGTTCCATTTTCATCCAGGTCGTAGTTTTGACATCTTTACCATGGACTCGAGAGTTTGTTTGGCGCCCTACTAATAATCAAAATATTTGAATCTTAAAAATACCGCATGGCTCTATTGGCAAAAATGTTCAAAGGAGGCATATGATGCTTTTTGGGGCCCAATTTCGGACTTGCAGCATTCTTGGAAAGAATGAAATGGAATGGCAAAACTATCTTCCCCCGAAATCAAGAATGGAGCCATGCGAAAGCAAAACGCCTTTATATTTATTTTCCCACCCTCCCACCCTTGATTTGGAAGAAGCGGGAGGGGACGGAAGGGCAGGTCGGAATTTTCCGTCCACAATCAAACCTGTTTTAAGTGGTCACCCTGGAGAATGGCATACTGACTGCTTAATACAAGTTGACCTTTTAATACATGTTTGGCAAACCTGAGAGAATATTCAGGAAAAATAAAGATGGTGAAAGAGAGATTAATATCTATCCCACGACAAAATTACCTGAAAGTGTCTCTTCCTCCTCTTGTACAAAAGAAAGGAAGTAATCATTTTATGGGCTGCAGCTGGTAAGTGATAAGGGAACATATTATTAAAGCTCTAAGTCAGACATTGATTGTTACTAAATACAATACGAAACCTCTTTTATATTCAAACTGTATATAAAGATTTTTGTCAGTTGTCCTTACATAAAAATTCTGAATGTAACGTGGACAAAGATCGTGTGGTGAAAGGACTTAATTATGCCAGCTTTGATTGATACTGTTGCCATGGCATCCACGCAGCAGAGTCAGTAACAGTGAAAAACAGGAGAAGTATTTCCTGCATTAACTCTCATAACTCACACCGCGCATGTCTGTGTTCAAAACCAGTTTCGCCCAAAATTGGCGTTATCGCCAGTCACACACTGTAATTTTTAGGGAGTTATAATAACTCCTCTAGTGGGGCTAATTTAACTCCTTACAGTGGAGTTATTTTTCGTGGAGTTACTTTAACTCCTAAAAGGAGTTTAAAGAACTCTTTTTCACGAGTAAAAGTGACCCCAGATATTGAGGAGTTAAAATAACCCCCAAAAAGGAGTTATCCTGTACCTAAAATTTTTACTCCACTTTCAGAGTTAAATTAACTCCAAAAAGAGTAAAAACAACCCATGTAAGGTGAGTAAAAATGACCCCAAATTCGGAGTTAAATTAGGAGTTAAAATAACCCCAAAAAAGGGGTTATCCTGTACCTAAAATTTTTACTCCATTTTTGGAGTTATAATAACTCCCTAAAAATTACGGTGCATGTCTCAATATTCAACAACCTTTTTGGGGCACCGGAAAAAACGAGAATTTGTCATCTTCCGGGGTTTGATTTTTGTTTCAAGGTGACCCATAGTTTTTTGACGGATTGTGATATCGTCATTGTCGTATGGCATCTTTTTAAAGCGACCCAAATAGCAAAAGATCACTCCCTTGATTAAACTGTCTGATAATTATCCAACGCCCTCGTTCCTTAGACTCCACACATTTTTCTGGTCCAAATAAAATATATTTGAGACGTTTTTGCAAGAACTAGTAAGGAAATGCAGGGAATTAAATAAGGAATTACAAATTAACGGCCACCAAAAAACCAAGCCTAGAAGTTGCCAATAAAACATTATTTCATGTCTCAACGTTAAAACATTTTTCCTGTCCAAAAATACTAACATGTACTGAATCGGGTTCTGTGATTTCTGAGTTAATGACCCTGTATCTGACGTAGCTGGAGATGTGCGCCACTGTATAAATAGTCTTAGCTTATGTAAGTCACAAGAACTCCTTTCGTAACGCTGAGGAACTGACTACATTAGATCTAACAGAAACTACAAAACGCTAATCAGACACATTCAAGTTGTTTAGAAGCCATTCCGTAGCGTTTTAGAAAAAGCAGCTATGACTTTCCTCAAGTTCCTTCTAATAGGTCTCGTTTGTTACAAGGCTGAGGCAAAATTCGTTTATCCCAGGTTTGATGAAATCAACATGGCGAGAACTTTGGATGAGCGCTCGGGTAAGATGTATCCAGTTTTGTGTAATATTCGCATCCTAACAAAAAATAACCTACAATATAAAACAGATTTCTAAGAGCAAATGTTTTTCCTTTCCTAGTGAAAGAATTTATTTTCCTTTCATGATGCCGCGTTGTTAAACTGCTTTATGTTGTTAATACAAAGTTTAACATCTGCTTTGGTGTTTAACTATATTCAGCACTTGTCGGAATCTAGGTGGACGTGATGATTTGTTTCGATCTTGACATACACAAACGTTAATGCCTCATGGCGAATGAAATCATGTATAATGGTACCTTATCTGTGAAAAGTTAGGCGTTTAATTTACCAGTTTTTCTTATCAGAGAAACAAAGTCAACCGCCCATGAATGAAACTAATATCAGTATGTCATTCCATATTTTTAAAGGAGTAGTGTTTCTCATGTGTTTTTCTTGTTTTAAAACAACTGAACACTGAAGTATCTGATGACCACTCTATTTTTTTTCTATATTTTTTCTTTTTTTCCCGATATTTTTCGATAGGCACTGTGAGTATATAATGGTTTGTTCCATATTATCAAGGAAAGACTTGGCTAGCTCCTAACAGCTAAATACTTTAATTATTTCCAGGATGATGACCCATTTATTATACTTAAATAGTATTTTTCACATGCTATATGATGACCCAGTTATATACTTAAATAGCATTTTTCACATGCTATACGTGTGCCTTTTTATTTTAAACAGTCTTTTCCGGAAATATCATTGAACGAAATGCTATCTGGATAGAGATAAGGGTAATCTGCGATCAGGAGTCTTTTTTTTTTCTAGCTATGTCTTTCTTTACCATATAGTCTTTATTCAATAGTGCATAATCAGCAACTGAAGATTTCACGGCCCCTTCCCCAATTCAACTTTAACGCTCTCCCCCCCCCCCCCCCCCCCCCCCCCAAAAAAAAACACACTAAAAAAACACTTTTTTTTTTTTGGTGGAGGCAACAACTAAAGATTTGGTGGGGTGTGTGTTGAGAGAAGCAGCAAAAAAAAACAACCAACAATAGTATACTTCTTAAAAAAACATTTCTTTGAAAAATAGATATATAGACACCACTGAATGATGTGAATAATAAAATTATATTGTTGTGTTATATAATGGTTATTTTTGTTATGGATTTTTTTTTTTTTTTCGTCTTGTTTTTTTTTTCTCTTTGTTTTTTTTTTTATATGTCTCATAAAAACAACAATAATTTCTCCCCCCCCCCCCCACTTCTCATTTTACACCCCCCCCCCCCCCCCCCCCCTCCCAAAAAAAATGCCTGAATTCACAACACGTGTTTCTTGGTGTCGCGGAAACCTTAAGGAAGTTTATGGGGTGTGTGTATACTGAGACCCGTATACAAGACATCACATATCTGATGAGCTTGATAAGTACAAATTTCTGCACTGAAAATTTGATCAAGACCTGCTGGACATGAAGTGTAAATAATAGACATAATAGTCACTCTGGGGAAGCGCAGTGAAAAAAGGTTTTCTTTTGATTGGCTCGTTTTAGTGCAAGTTAAGGCAAACCCCATGTGTTCTGATTGGCTACCCGAGATCCGCCGAGAGGGCAAGATGGGTTTATCTTGCCTGTTCGGGATCACCCGCTTGGTCCCTAAAGAACCGATTTAGTTAATGGCCAAAAAATAAATGGTTTATTGGTCAAGCTCGTTCGCCGAAAATGACTGAATCTCGACTACCTCTCAGTCCATGAAAAGGGAAAAAACCTGGCTTATACATGTAGCCATCTTCTCGGAACAACCTTGCCCAATAACGCATGTCAGTATTGTCCAAATTCACTTGCCCACCATCTTGACCTCACGCTTTGTCAAACACGCATTTTATTTGTATGGCTGAATCTGTGAGTGGGTAAGGGGCTGTTTTCATGAGAAAACTCGCACCGGCGCGAGTTTCATACCGGTATGACTTTTTTATTTCGTATCGGGACTACACGTTGTTTACATGATGACTGGGTCATTTCATACCTCGTTATTTGAAGGTACACTTCATGTTGATAAAATAAACGTGAGATTCAACATTACGCATGCGCTACCCGTTCCAGTCTACTGGCAGACCGATTCACACCGAAACGTGTGGTCGTTTCGTGTTTACATGATACCGTTGCGAGATTTCGTGCCTGAGTGAAATTCTCGCCCCAGTACAACAACCTGGGTGAACTCACGCCGGGTTGACTCGCGCCGGGATGACATTTTGTGGTGGCATCATGTAAACAAATGTAGAGCCATGAGAGGGAACCGGAGTGGACTCGTGCCAGCGCGAACCCCCGGTGTCATGTAAACACCCCCTAAGATGAAGAATCCTGTGTTCTGATTGACGTGCCCATCTTGCCCGCTTGAGATTTCCGTTATTGTTATCGCAAGAATAAATCCTTAATTGACCCAGGCTTGTTCGGTCAAGGTGGCTGGAAATTGGCCTCGTTCTTTTTTTTACGTTTTTATTGACCTCGGCCCTCGTCTGCGTCAAATAATTATAAATTGGCAATATCCAGCCATGCTGACCTCCTGCTTATTCAATAACGTATATATTGCATGCAAGGGGAAACTGAGTAGGTGGACCTCGTTACACATTTCTGAATATTGACACTGAATTTGCCTTTAGATGGGTGCAAGTACTTTGACCGTCTTTATGAAGAAGGCGAGGTCATGATCCCAACAACTTCTCGAAAATGCGAATATCTGTGCACCTGTCACGTGTACGAGAATTATGAAGGCCAGTTTTTCTGCGAACGTCTGTGCCAGCAGTACACTGACTACATTTGTAGACCGGGATGGGAGAGTAAGCCTGTAAATGTGTCCGCGGGACCCCCCGAATATGGCTGCTTCTGTGAGGAGAACCACTGTGTTCCTTCCTTAGGAATCGACGCACTCGTAGCTCGATTGCGATTGCGGTGAACATCTAGTCAGGTTTGTTAAACTCGAAGTTACCAACTATTTATCGAATAACTAAGCTTTTCAAACCTAATTATTCCAGCTAACTCATCTCAATGGGTATCACTGCAGCTACTTAGGCACTAGAACTAATGCTCTTACTGGATATCGGATATTGAAAATTTGCGTTTTTAATTATTTCATAAATCTGGTGGCCTTTTACCCCAACCAAACTCTATCAAAGGGATTCTTTTATACACGCCCATGCAACTGACATATTAAAACTGTCATGTACACAGCACTAAATCTTTCCGGTTATATAAATCATAAGTTGATTGCTTTTTCTGTATTATTTCGAGTTAATAAATTGTTATTTTCCCTTTTACAGAGTGGATGAAGATATGTGCCCTGTATTATCGGCCGACCAAGAGACAATGAATTCGACCAAGAAACAGCAAACGTTGTAATGTAACGCAAAAAATTCGGATGAAAAAAATAATAGATAATAGCCACTATTAGATCTACAAAACCCTTTTTAAAATCCTTTTTTAATTGTGTATGTCGAACGAAGTATATTAATACTTTACAGACAATTGTTCTTCAAATGCGTCTTTCTAAAATTATTGTGTAGTTTGTTACTATGGCTACAAGATATGGCGTCCAAAGTAGCACAAGGACGGGCAAGGTTTTATTGTTACGCTTTCTGTAGTAAAATATATCTCTCAAAAACAAGAAAATGTTGTTTGTTGCATTTGGATGTCTTAGCAGAAATTTTAGATGGTGGATATCTTATCTTTTTACCTTTATTAACAGCCGCGAGGAGGAGGGTAACCGCCGCCAGTGGCGGGGAGCTTAGTTGGGAGAGCGCCGGTCTGCTGAGCGGGAGGTCGCGGGTTCAAACCCCGATCGGACCAACACTCGGGGTCTTTAAATAACTGGGAAGAAAGTGCCTCCCTTGTAATGAAATCTGCAAACGGTTAGACTTTCTGATCTTCTCGGATAAGGACGAAAAACCGTAGGTCCCGTATAACAGCACTTTCATTCATCTGTTCTTGAGGGACGTAAAAGAACCCACATCATTGTTCGAAAAGAGTTGAACGTATAGACCCCGGTGGTGTGGCCAACCTTTACGGGTTGTGAGATTGGGTAGGGATGGCACCTCGCATGGGACCTATGAGTCCCGTTCGTGCCTATTCCCTCTGGGCAGGCCTGTGTACGGAAAGCTGTTAAATAAATACATAAGTGTAAAGTTAAAAATACTCCCTTCACTGTACTTTGGTGGGGTCATTGTTTGCTTTATGATTGTGAGGGTAAAAAATCATGTAATTTGCAGCTGCGCTCAAAAATTAGGATAAAATTTTTCCAACGTTGAGGCTTCTACCTCTTCATCAGTGGAACTTTTACGTAAGCGTGTTTTTAGTCCAAATGCTACCCTCGCGATTTCGATAAAAATATTTGCAAAGTCTACACTTTTGCGTACTTTATTGTTTGCTCGGTTGACCCCGACTTGAGTTAAAGGAAGAGACGATGACATCCTTTTTTGATGGAAATGAACGTTGATAAAGTGAAGTATGCAGAAGCTCTATATTTAATTTTCGGTCAGTTTATTTTCTTTTAACTAGTTACAAGTCCATATGCCTGCATGCATGGTGATATTGAATCTGGCTTGTTATCCTGGAGCTAAAGCCTGGTGATCCTGCAAAAATAGCATTAAAAAACCTATGAAATTCTACATTACTTCTTGATTTTCTTTAATAGTAGCCGCTTTAATAGTAGCTTTTAGCACTGAATTCAATGAGACATAACTCGTATCTTTAATAATAGAATCCCTATGGCAATTTTATTAGACATGATCTTGACTGACCTTAATTCAGAGTCTCTCGATGGTCTTAAAAGAACGCTCATCGAGTTTTTGTCGTTTCTGCCAGGGCCAGAGAGAACGACTGTCAAGTTTTTGTCGTTTCTGCCAGGGCCAGAGAGAACGACTGTCAAGTTTTTGACGTTTCTGCCAGGGCCAAAGTGAACGGCTATTTTGTTTCCTTCCTGAACGCAGGAGAAAAAAAAAAGGTTAGACTAAAACATTCACCAAGTGCATTCATCACACAACAGGACACAACATAAAATGGACTAAATCAACTCATTTTGTATGTAAGGAAGATTCTGACTTGTCCCTCCGCCAGATTAAACCGAATAATTACAACATCTTTTCACCCAAATTTGGGGTAAACTTAGCTTAAAAGCAATAGTGGAATAATAGTTGCACCCAAGATTTCAAGGGTCGCGCAAATATTCGATCAACGTCTTAATATAGACAGGCAAGCGACCATTGAAAATGTCCAAATCGTGATTTGAAGTGAAGCCTCAGAAAGACCAGAAAGCTTCGGTGCATTTATGTAAAAGTGCGCCCAGCAATTAGATTCTTGAACGGTTTTCTCAGTGTTGTTCAGAGGCATGCGTATGCGCGGGTGGAAGTCTGCAGAATACGGAGGGAACCAATATAACTGGGAGGTATTTTGAAGAATTTATTACCTATAAACACAAGTAACATGTTCATAGAATATATCAAGTACAAAAGACGCTTTACTATGTATCTAGAATTGAAAAAAGGGGATAGTTTCCGTCCAAAGAAACGATGGTGCTGCGTTACAAAAATGTGATTTCATCAACTGAACTAATTATTGACAATTTACAATCGTAAAAGGATAAAGAAGCTGACGTTAGGTCGCTAAGATCTACATAGTCTAGATTAGCGAGACAGACTCTAGGCCGGCAGAAAAAAAGCAACCAAACACCAAGCTAAGAGACTGTTTTCACGAAGACCTTCGAGAAATAAAATGTTTCAAAACCAGTCATTCCTAAGGAAATACGGAAAGCCGCAAACATCAGTACGAAACTTTATCTTTCAAAAAGGTACCCTATTGATCTGCCACGGAATCGCTAACACTTTTCATTCTAATAATTTATTCTTATATTCTTGTTTTTCACGCTCCTACTATAATTATCTGTAAGAGAATTCCTATTGCGGAATGAGGGAAGTTTTTGCTTGTGAAATCTGAATCCTGGGCTTTGGAATCCGAAATACAGCTCAAGGAACCCAGAATCGAAGTCTGTCTTGGATCAAGAGAGAATGAGCTAGATCATTCTCTCTTGCTTGGATTCTCTTCCAAGGAGGAACCAAGCCGGAGCACCGATGTAAGGCGGAATACCAGTTTATATATCTACTATTATTTATTGAATAAGGAACGGCCATGATGTTTCTTCTTTCCTAAAAATTGCAAATTTTGTCGAAATACTGTTTATTAATTTCTGATAAATTGATGATAGAAGCTGGTCCATAGTTTCTCGGCAGTGCACGTTGAAAAGAAAGGGAAATTCGTTTTTAGCTGTGAAGAATATGTTTTTAATTCAAAATTGCATATTTTGTACTCGATGGCCTAGTCATTCGTGATAAACCAGAGGGTTAATAGTTCATCATCCATGTCATTTTATAATTTGGACGATGATCAATTTCGGCTAACTCTCTTTGAATTTATGAATGGCGCGGTACCATCGATTTTGATCCTGATAGATTAGCTCAGTTAAAGTTTAATTTTTTGTTATCTGAATCCTATAAAAATTATAGTCTCTGTAAAGACAATGATCGAGGCTACGTGAATTTTTATTTAAAAAAACAGTAGCTGTGAATACTATACCGAAGATAGCTTTAACAACATGTTAGCCGAAAACCAAAGTCGCCTAAATTTAAATTGCACTACCCTTGAAACTGTCGGCCTTTCACTCCTCCATATGAACATTCTTAGTTTATTTAATAAATTTGATAAGCTTACAAATGTTCTAGGCCAAGTTCGAGTGAAATTTCCTATTATTGGGATTTCTGAGACTTGGCTTGATGATTGTTATCATTTTTCCGATATAGTAGGGTACAATTTTTGCATTAACCTAGATTCAATCGCACTGGTAGAGGTGTTGGCCTTTACATTGGTGAACATTTAAATTACAAAGAACGTCATGATCTAGCATTCGCTGAGGGCAAATCTACTGAATCCTTGTTAGTTGAAATTAATAGGACAAAAGAATAGAATATAATTGTCGGCATTGCCATCGACCACCCGACTCGGACTCACTGTCTGACTTGGATCTCAGTAGTACTGGGAAAAATTTCCAAGGAAAATAAACTTGTATTTTTAATGAGTGAGTGTAATTTAAATCTATTTTACCACCATTATCATAAAGCGACAAGTGATTTCTTAGATTTGTTGTACTCGAGGATGCTATTGTCCACTAATAACACGTCCCACTGGTCCCACTAGAATTACGGCTAACAAAACTTCGTTAATAGATAACATTTTCACGAACGATCCACTTCGTCCCTCAATAACCGGTCTTTTTCTCAATGACATATCTGACCATTTACCGATATTTTAACTTATTTTGTATAATAATAGTACTAGTGATAACGATAAATAAGTATTTTTTCTTGAAAAAATGCGCATAATCTAAGTGCATTTAAAGATGAGTCAGGTAAGATAAACTTGGCTGAAAAGAGAAACCTTCAGTTAGGTGTAGCATTTCTAAGAAAAAAACTGATATAAAAGACGAGGTCGATCGGGCTAACCCCAGCGAGGGATTGGTGACCTTTCCACTGAAAATAGAAAAGGATAAAAAACCAAAACAGATCAAAATTACAGACTATTAGAACTGAAATGACAAGAGCTTCAATAATTGAGGTGGAGCCCGGGTGGGGTTCTCAACAAAGTTTTATACGAGGAAGTCTAACCCCTTACATTTTTCTACACAATTTTTGCCACAAAAAGGCACCCCTTTCGAATAACCTTCTATTGAAAAATGACCTGCTTCGGGTACCCTTTTCACATACCTTGGTTTGAACTTTGGATCCCCATAACTGCAGCTATAATAAATACACTGTCTTTTAAATGTGAATAAATTACAAAACCAGAACTTTTTATTGATTTTTACACAGCCATAAAAAAGTACCATTTGGTGCTTTTTACAGACCAAAATGACATATTTCCCTACCATGTCAATAGCTTCAACTGGTGAAATTCCAACCCTTTCATATATCTGAAGCTTGACTTAAAAAAGTACCCTTTTATGGGGGATCCTCCCCATATATGCCATTATAGCAAGTATGCCCCATTGGGCTGAGGATCAGCGCCCAAATACTGCTGAAATAAAAACGTTACCTATATTATTATTATCACGTGATTCTTGATTTGAAAAGTCAGTCTTTTCAGCTAAAAGTAAAATAAACAGAAACAAAGTTAGAAACGCAGTTAGTTTCCGTCGTCCATTTAACAGGTTCTTATAATTGCTTTTCGGATAACTCTTAATAAAATAACCTTGCACGAAAAGTGAGCTAACAGACGTAGTAGTAAATTGTTTTTTTACTAACCAGGCAAAAACGTCCGTTTCAGCTGTTTTCCAAAACAAACCTTTTGAAAAAAATTCAGACTGGAATTGTCCCTTTTAGACAGAAATGGTCGAACTTTCGATGCACTTACCAGACACAACGACAGAAGCCAAAAGGAAACACAGGATCATCACTGCCGCATGTATGCTCATAATGAATCACTGTTGCGAATGTCTGTG